TGCAGGTTCGAATGAAACGGAAATAAAATCAGGCAGTCTATGAATAAATGTAAAATTACTGAACAACTGTTTAAAAGTACTGTTTTAAAAGTTGATTTCTGGTTGAAAAATGGTTTAAAGAAGTAGAACATACATGAAGGATAAATAACCAAAAGTATAAAATAGAGAATGCCTTCTCTGGGTTTGTAGTCATTCCAGTCTGCTCTTGGTGGTGCCTTAAAGGCAGACAGGCCTTTCATTTGGCACCACTCCACTCAGAACAGCCTCCTCCATACATTGCTAATGATTCCAAACTGCCTTCTCTCACTGTGAGTCGTGACAAACCAGCAACAGGCTGGATCACACTCCACCTTAAATCATGACAGAAAATTACAAGGATGCCCACTGTGCCTAGCAACTTCAATTACACGCTGGAGTCGGGAACAACATTTTAGTTATTGGGTTGTTCTTGTGACCCTAAATTGTCAAAATTGGAATCACAACTTGCAAATACAGGAATCAGGGCATTTCTGCTTACCATGTGACAAAGTACGGCGAAAGCACAGCTTCTCAGAATTTTCTTAGTTCTAGTAATTTTTCTCAGAGATAAATACAGTATTTATTTAGGCTGATGGGTGTTTTAAAAATAAATTTAAAAACACAGTAGAAATATACTCATGAAATAAAATGAATTGATTTCTTAACATAAGGAAAAAAATCATTAATAAATAGTTCATTTACTTCACGATTCAAGGTTCAGATCAGACATTTTTCCTACGCTATACAATAGATCATTGAAACATTCTCCATAAAACAAATGTTAAATGACCCTCAATGTCATTTAACAATGTCATTTGTATTAGACCTACTGCATATTTACCCTTTTTTACTGAAAGCTTGGTTGTTGTATTCTTTTAAAGACCTTTAATTTCTGTTATAAATAAATTACTCCATATTGGTTAGATATACATTTCCAGAATAGCAATTTATTTGCATACACTCCCATATTTACATTGTAAGCACTTGGGTGGATATATATACTGTAATACAGTTGTGTGTGATATTTACAACTACCATTGATAACGTTCTAAATAAGGAGTGATTGTAGACTTAACCTTTGCCTGGTCTTATGTTTTAAGGAAGAACCTAAAGATTTGTAACTTTGCCTTAGAAATCTTCTGCTTCTTCTTATTTAAGATTAAGTTTGCATGTCTGATTACTGTATATATAATCGTCTAATTATGTGCTTATTTCAGTTTCAGCTTAATTAGTCCACAAGTGAAGGTTTCCAGCATAAAGAGAAATTAATATTTATTCCAAGGCTGAAATCAAACCCACACTGCAAATATTCTTTCTGCTTTGTCTTTTTTTTACTGGCTATTAATTTCTACATGGAAACCTTTGGCTGATTTAGTTGTGGGTCTGGAATAGGGGCGTATTTCACTTATCAGTCATTCCACTACAATTGACAGGAAGGGATATAGAATAGTTCTGTTCCACCAGAAGAACTAGAGAGCACCCCTCCACTCCCCCTTGCCTTGGCAGGATCAATATCTGGAACCTCAGTGCTTCCCTGTTTGGAATGGAGCCTAGTCATCAGAGCCGGGATTCATTTTCCAGACCTTTTAGTTGCAGAGGGTCAACACACGAGCACACTGGTGTGCTGTTGTGTGGAAACACTGCTTCATCTACTTCCCATTCATTTTGAACAGGAAACCATTGTGCCTGCTGTTAGCAACAATGGCTAAGTCAATAAGAGCCAAGTCAAACTGAGAGGGGGATATGGAAGGCACAAATTTATCTGATGGAAAAGGAGAAACATGCTTTGCTTACCACACATCCTTAAAAGTACAAATTTAGACGTGACACAGCAACATCTTATTTTTGCTTCACATTGACTATGCAGTCATGGTTCAATTCTTCTCACATACCCCATACCTAGGAGCTGCACATTCCTAAATCTTGCACACAATATCATATGGAATTAAGTTTTCTTTACATCACAATAAATAGTTTCTACAAACGTCTGTCCACATACAGTATGTATTGGATAAAATTATGACAATCATAATGAAATTACAATATTTTCAGTATAGCATTTTATTTTATCCTTGTGGTCTCATTAGAAAGATTCCAGCTTGAGCTCAACCCTGTCTTTTTCCTTTTAGAACTTCATAGGTGTATTTTAGATTATTTCTCTGTAAAGCTGGCAGTATTTTTTATGTACGTGTATGCATTAGGAATACAGACAATCGTCACTGTAGCCACTACCTTTATTTTTTCATTTCCTGAGTCTTACAGAAGTAGTTCTGGATCTATTCACCAAAATCCCCCCAAAAGGCATTTATTTTAAGGATGAAAATAAAATACACATCATATTGGTATTATTTTAATATTAAAAATAAAGAAACGTTTATTGATGGTTGATTAAAAAAATTGTAAAAGAACATAGAATTTCATCATATCATCACAGTTTATTTTGATTACATAAATTGCTTTGAAAATGCATTATTTATGTTAGACTTTGCCAAACTCTGGAATTCAGAACTTGTGTTCTGTTTATTTATTAAGATTTATCTTAATAACTTTAAGTATGTGAGGTGAGTCCTTCTTTTCACTGCATGGAGTTTGTGTACATACTTTTGTTTCTTTGTCTATATTTTGTTTAATTAAACCTCTGTTACATAAACATGTTTTTAATAAGGTACAGCTTTGGTTGTATTATTGTTCACACGGTTCTCCAAACAGATGCATGTGGAGTGTAATGTAATTTGCAGAATACCATGAACACCATCTAGAACAGATTAAACCCTTATCAATAGCTTCTGCTCCAGTAGACTTCTGCTGTTGAAACTAAAGGCTGGTCAATTACCCCAAACATAATTAGCAGAGTTTGGCATGTGTTCAAGTTGAATTAGACAGGGTGAATGAGAACACAGTGCCTGTATTCAGCGGGATATATGTAGGACAGCCTAAGTCATTTCAGTACAGAACTAATGCACCACATTTGAGAAGGAAAACAGGTCATTTTTTCACTTTTTTAAACTTTCCATCAGAATCAGTATTAAAAGGACAAAAAGAGCACTGGCACTGACATTACAGAGGTAGTACTGTCTATTGAAGACTAACTCTTGATGCCAGTTTTAAGGAGCAATATTTCTCCTTAAAAATTATTTTTTTTCAGTCTTGAGCATGAACTGTGCAGCAAGGTGATGTGGTGATTAGCATTGCTGGCTCTCAGTGCTGAGACCATGGGTTTAATTCTGGACCTGGGGTGCTATCTGCATGGAGTTTGTATGTTCTGCCCTTGTTTGTGTGGGCTTCCTCCCACAGTCCAAAAACCTACTGGTACTGTAGGTTAGAAAATGGAAATGAACTGAGACACAACATAGCTGTTTTGAAAGTTGTGTTTCCTCTGCTGAAACACAACAAAAACAACCAGGTCTCTTAGGTTTATAATCAGCACCTCTATGCCAATATACTCCCCTGTGCTGATAAAGGTTATGAGTAGTTGACTCAGATTAGTCATGATTTATAATATTATATTAATGCCAATAACCACTATTAAAACTGTGAAAAGTTGTGTTTGCAAAAAATGTGACTGATTGACTGAATAAAACTCTTCCCCAAGAGTGTGATGTCATTGTTGCATTCCGTTAACATGTCATTGTGTAGTAAATGGCTAAGAAACTTCAGACAATCCATGCACAGATCATACAGTATATCATATTCCACTGAAACCTATGCCAGGCACCCATATGGGTCCCAGTGTGCATCACTCCTAGTATTAATTAGTATAACCTGGTCTTGTTTTATGTTAAAACTGGGCCCCGTGGCAATGTGGCTATCCGCTCTGAGTAACAGATGGAAAAAATGATGTTATTTTAGAGAGCTCCAAGTCATGTTATGTAAAACAGCACATCTGGAACCCTAGGAAATGTAACTTTGTTATATTTTAATCCCCATGATTATCTCAGTACTTGTACAGATAACCTCTTGGCCGATAAGCAGGATGCAGAAGGCAAAATATTTACTCCTAAGACTAAAGGGGTTACTCTTTTATATCCAGAATCTAAGGGAATAAATTAAGTATTCAAAGTAGAACAACTAGACATCCTTATTTTGCAATGGAAGAACAGAGATACCAGTGTAATGCCATACACACAGAAGATGAAGACATTTCTTCCTCTGCCACTGAAGCTGGATGTGACCTGCAGCAAGTCAGCTGACACCCTCGTGCCTCAGCTTTGAAGCTACAGTATGTAATTTTATGTAAGGACTTACTGGTCAGAAAAATAACAAACAGAAATATTCACTAAGGAAACAAATACCCATGGATTTTCTTATTAAGACTGGAAAGGGGCAGTCTGTTCTTGAACGATTTTAAGGATGCCCCTGGGAAACTTCCCAATTTCCCATTTTTGATCTAACCACTCGTTCTATATTCCAGCACATTACACGTCTCCCACCTAACTTTTCAGTGCTCTAATTTGTTATTTTTAATGAGTTTCTATTCACGGTAACTACTAGCAGGCAGGCCCATTTCATTGCTCTTATTTTCGTGCACTTAAAACACTATTACTCAATAAATATAATAGATTTCACTCCTGTAAAGCTAAACAATCAAATCTACCAATCTAGCGAGTTTTTAATCGTTTTGATGAACAGGAATGAATATTCATTATTGTAAACAGTCTACTTTATTTCTAGGAACTACTCAAACCCTCCAATTCCAGTTTATAATTCTACAGTCATTTCTTATTCTAAATTGTTTAGTATGCATATTGGTCTGTTTGATAAATGCTTTTCTCATTAAAATAACACTGTCGGCTTTTCAGACTGTACGAATCTTCAATTTCCTCCTTTTGGGTGCCATCGAACAGCAACATTTCTGAATGTTAATAAAAAGTCAGAATAGGTATGCATTCCTTGGATTGAAACCATTATACGTATGTGTGTGTTTCAGGCACCCCACACTGGATAGATTTTCATCCTTCTATCATTTACAACTCAGGAGAAGAGCGATTGCACATCTGGGGGACGTACTAGAATTGCTTTCTAATTTTCTTTTCAGAAAAGCACGTATCAATAAAAAAGGGGATCATGTCGCGCCTCAAGTACGGCGACAACAGCATCGTCTTATTAAAGCCGTTTTATTGTGAGGCTGAATTGACATGTTCTAGCTCACCGGCAGCACCTCAATAGTTAAAGCGGCACACCAAATACGTTGTTTTCTCATCTGTGGTGCTCCCACTTCACAGACCGCTACAGTAGGAAGATGGCGACTGAGGGAGCAAGCGGCGAGCAGCCTCCTCCGATTCAAACATTAGCAACTGCACTGCAAGGAAGCGTCGAAGCGGTAAGACTTTCCATGAAACGCCAGGACAATAATACAAATCTAAATACCTATAATCTTTAGTTCCCAAGACATTCCAGCCCTCGAGATCCCTTTCGTATGATACGCAGTGGGTCTACAGTGACTATGGATGTTATTTTTTGGACAATGTAGCAGTGCTAAGCAAGCGCTCCAGCTAGCCTAATAGAGTAATTGTGTTGAGGAGTTGTTCATGGGAATATTTTGTATGAATAAAAAAATAGCACTCCAGTATGACTGGGGAGAATATTCACACCAAAACAGGTTGCTGTATTTTTTTTACCGTCCTTTTCATTTTTTTTAACACACGAGAGGTGTGAGTGGGGCTTTGTAAGCAAAGCGAAATCAGTTGAGCTGGTGTCGATAAGAAAAAGTGCAGATGTGCACTGTGATTTGCGGATATTACTGTGGTGGACTGGATGAGGTGGTTTTCCATTATTTTGTTCAGATTTCTAAGAACATTTCATTTTCACGAGTTTGTGGAGGGTTAAACAAATATTTAAGCCGAGCTTTAATCGTTTTTCGCGTCATGGCAATGTACATGTATATAAACGTGACGCAGATTCTGTATTTGTAGACACGATGTTAAGATCTGTGAAAACCGATACGTATGGATACATTGTTTTGGGTTTTCACCAACGGAAGGAGAGCGAGGTATTTAGACCGAAGAATATAAATGGTTAACTAAGCTGGCTTAAAGCTTGACATAGGTTTCTCATTTCTCATTTTATCGCAGATAGTACAGTGCGTTTAATAAGGCTGCGGACACAAGTTACTTTCTCCGTTTTGTAATGTTCAGTTACAAGATTAAGACTATGTCCCGTTACTAAAACCCATATTCTTAAAATCAGTGTTAATCATTACTATTTAACGAAATTCTTGGTTATTGATATTGGTTATTAAAAAAATCCATAATACTTCACGATAGACCGTAAGTAATAAATTGATTACTTTTGGTGATAAAGCGTATTGTACTCTAGCCTTACGTGCTGGTTGACATAAAGTATCTTGTATTTTCTCTGCATTTTGTAAATTGTGTAGGTTAATGCAGTATCCTGCACTTTCTTGCTCTATTACAACGTGTAACTAGAACACTGTACCTGTGTGTAGTGTTTCACTATAGAAAAACACAATTGCTAAATGTTAAGGCCGTGGATAAAGGCATCCATCAATCGTTTTTCTGAACATTTTTTAACAACTTTAGGAAAATGCAAAAAGCAAACCATTCGGAAGAACTAGTTTCAATAATGCTCAGTAATGAAGCATAAGTAACATTAGGGTCTGTAAGGCTATCTTGGTGTTTTCAACCTTGTCTGACTAAAAAGTGTAACATTACCTAGGCCCCCTGAAAACGGCTTTATTTAGCTATTGGACAGCCGGGTTTTAAATAAGACTTATTTTCTCCCTAAAACCTCAGCGACCCCACTCCTGCACCCCACTCTTTGTTACGCAGTTGCCATATTCTGTGGTGCTCTTTAAAAAAAATCGAACCATTGACTGACTTGGGTGAAAGGAGACGGTTAAATTATGTAAAATAGTTTCTTCCCAGAAATGAACGAAGGCTTCTCTTCTCCAGGGAGTCTACGAACCGGGCCGTGCAAAACTAGCGCAGGGTATGTGCGGCCGTAATATGTATCTCGAATGTGCCAGGACCTGGCTGCCCCCCTCTCTTTGTGATGATAAATTAATCAGTTATCCCCGGGGAGGGAGCCGCGGAACCTTGCGTCTTTGCTGTCGTATGCTTGGCTTAATTTCTGGATCCCAATATACTGCCTCTGTTGACGGATCAGTTGACGGTTGGTGGGCAGGTTTTCTGCTCCGGCAGTAAATGCAAGTAAACATTTCTTTAAACAAACCAAAAGAATAATTAGATTAATTGTAGCAGGTTAAAATAAAAGTGAAACAAGTCAGGTTCCTGCGAAAAAACCACAGTGCGTTTGACAGTGGACAGTGTGGGAACTGAATATGGTTGTTAGACATGTTACTAATTTTATCTTAATTTCAGTGACTCAGCAGTAGAGCCGAAAGCACTGTATTATCTAACCTAACTTTAAGAGCAGTGTGTGACGAGGATTACAGAAGATATTTACAGTTTACTGTATTATTGTAATATTTACATTTTAACCCAGTTTGAATTCCTAGCTGTGCTGAAATTCCATATGGTGTTTGAACTTTTTAATTGGCTTTAGAGGCAAAATTCTTCCTTTTGTGAATAAAAATTGCAAGGACTTGCCTAATGTACAGATGGTAGAATTTAAATATATATATTCTTACTTATATTATTGGGTGATTCTACATTCTGCTGTCATTAGGAATCCCTTGTTTCAGAATCTGACTTTTTTATTATGAACTAGTTCAGAATAGTTTAGGGCCTCATCAACCTCACTCTTGTCCAAACCTTACCCAGTATGTTCTCTTATATACAGTACAGTACATGTATGCAAAGTTGGCTTTTTAATGCTTTTGGACTACATATTTGACTTTATGGAAGATCCAAAAATATTTATGGTGCATACATTTACCAATGTTATAATAGCTTCTGAGTGTTCTTGTTATACCTTATTGAAAATGTAGCTATCAATTTTATGTTTAGATAACATTTTCTCTGCATTACTTTAAAAGGGCTGATATGAATCCATGTAAAGAGTCCAATTTTAGGGACAGCTTCACAATTTATTTTTAGAAAAAAAAAGATCTTTGAATAAACTTTGCCATAACAGGAACTTTAATAATGAACTAGGTCACTTTTTCTTTTGTAGAATGGGTTCTTTAAGGTGAAGCAGAATTTTTCAAACTCAGAAAGACCTGGTTTACTAGAATAGAAACCTGAAAGTAACTGTTTTTGTACTTCACACAGCTCATGGGACAAATAAGTCATGTCGGTTGTTACAGACGTCCTTTGCTGTAATGCTGAAATGAAACGAATTCTGATCATGCTAATTAACACTCGGCCCACATCCTAAATTCCCTAGTTGTAATGGACACAGACTGGAATCCGTGTCAGATCTTGTAGAAGACCCTATGCGATGCGGTAAGAGCTGGAGAAAACAGGAGGCGTGGTAAAAAGGAACACACAGGGGTTTAATAGTGCACAAAATAATAGTGACAGTCCGTGAGACAGTGTACGGGGAAGACAAAACGGCATCCAAATCCAAACGGGTCCAAGGGCAGGTCAAAGCACGGTCCGAAAGTCCAACTGGAAATCCATCCTGGGACGCGACAAAGTTAAAATCCCCGGGAGGGGGGAGCACACGGAAAAATGAAACATGGAGGTCCAAGGGTGACGGGGCGAGATCCTCCAGACCCCGGGCTCAGGAAACGGGAGGTGTCGGGGATGAGGTCTGTGCCCTCAGGAGACGGACGTAGGGTTTCCTGGTGCTAGGCGAGCCTCGCGACATCTTACCCTACTGATGAGCCCCGAGGACTGGAGGAGCTGGTCTTTAAATAATAACACTAAAAGGGTACACCTGGAGAGCTAAATGACACGAACAATAATGAGAGCAGTGGAGCGCCCTCTAGGGAGGGATGTCGGGCATGACACTAGTGTTAGGAAATCAGTCAAACTGAACTGTTTGCCTGTTATCACACCTTGATAGGAAAAGGAAATATAAATAATATGCATCCTCTTTGGAAAGTACAGTTGCAGTCAATGTATGAAGTTGCCTATCTGCCAGCCAGAAAGAGATTATCTTTGCTTTCAGATGGAAAAATACAAGCAAAACCTCAACTGTTCTGCTCAAAGGAAGGCAGCTTTGAAGTGAAAGTATATTTTGTAACTCTGAACATAAACGTTTGTCATTGAACTTGCCTTGTTTATAAAGTGTGTTCGGTTTAGGAAGGCTAACAGTGCCAGAATGACGCAACACGCTGTAGAATTTGTATTACTGTTGAGTCGGAGATTACAAATATGGCAGGAATTACCAGGCTGAAGATCAGGACGCTTTTGCTAAGAAACCATGGCAGATAGTAATTATCTCAAAACATACCAACAAACCATTTTTAACCATGGTAACAACACAACCCCAGTTACATCAAAGAATAAGAAATAAAACAGTGAAAGCATGCATTTACTGTTGTTGTTTGGCTTTTTATTAAATCTTAAAACAGTTTGCAAATGTGAAGGCTTTTCATCCCACCTAGCTTATGTAGTTGCTAGTAGACACAGAAAGAGTCCAAGAGAACAAAAAAAGACTATAGACCTGGTGGGCAAACTTGGGTCAAAACACAGGAGTTCGCGTGAGTTTTAGTATGTGAACTGTTGTAATAAAGTCAGAAATGGCTGTCTGGGGATCCTGTGGGGGTAGTGGTCTTCTCATTTCAGATGGTCTCTAAACTGATTTAGTTGAACAAATCACCTGTTTAAGTGATCAAAGCAAATTTGTTCCAAGTGTTTAGAAACTGAGAAGCATGAGGGTGGCCTATAAAAGCTTCTACATTGTGGCTTTCCTGGATGACGATCGGCCACCTCTGCTGTAGATTCGCCAGGACTAATGCTACAAAGATTTTAAATCACAACCCTTTGTTTCTGGTTACTACAGTGGGGGGTTCTGGTTTGAGCAATAATGAAATATCTCGTGTCAATCTGTGTTGCAGAAATGTGAGTTTAACATGGATAATCTCAGCAAACCCGAGCTCCTGACGCTTCTGAGTATAATGGAGGGGGAGCTGGAAGCCAGGGACTTGGTGATCGAGGCCTTGCGGGTGAGTTCTGCTCTCGTCGTACAGTAATATCTGCCTGTTTTCTGCTACATTGAGTATACTTCAATGACAAGATGATGTCTTGCTAAAGATCCTCGCGCACAAATGTTGTCTAGAAAACAAGGCTGGGTTCAAAGGTTCACCATCTTAAAGATTTGCAGGCTAGAGAATTGCAGGAATATCAAAATGTTTGATGATTCATTAGGTATTCCTACAGTGGCGATCATAGCAGCAGGCATCCTCTAGTCAATTATTTTGCTTGCTTAACAACTTTGATGGGTGTTAAAAGTTATTTTAAATATAGTGCTTTAAGTACTTTATCTGTGTCTTTTGGCTACGCTTACTTATCTGTTTTAGAATTAACTCCACCCACTACACTCACATTCCTCTAACAACTGGTCATTATGTGACCAATCATTAGTGCAAGCCTTGTACACAGTGTACTACAAATGTCAGTTCTTTCTGTCTGAAATTATCTTGGTGATTTACTGCTGAGTGCCTTCTCCAGCAGTTTAAATACAGCTGCAAATCCAGTTAAAGTTAAGTTCCTTTGTAAAAATATAGAGTCGGAATGCTGTTCTATTGTGTTGGTTTTTGTTATAAACATAGTAATTTGTTAATATTAATTAATTAATAATGTAATTGTTTTCTAAAGAAATACATGTAATAATGTAATAAATGGAACATTTATGGTTGATATTGCTCTAACTAGTTCTATACAGTAAATTCAATGAATTTGTGTTACATGCTGTTTATGGATTGAAACAAATATAAATTAACACTTTACATTTGGTGTTTTATTGTGCATCCATTAGCTGATTTGTTTTAACCTGGTCAAAAAACTGTTCACGGCCCTTACAAATTGTAGGTATGTAAACATTGTGTATTTTAAAGTCGATTTCAAATTTGAAAATATACCTAGTTTTACTTTTTTTTTATTTTGTTTGGAAATACTTATATGTATTATTCATTTTATATGGAGTGCTTGTAAGGTAACAAGCTTCAATTAAATATTAGTTATCTGAATCTGTACACTAGAAAAATATGCAAAAGGTTCAAGCATTTATGTATTTCAGACCTTTAAACTAAAGAATATGCTACTTTTAAGTGCAGCATAGTGCTGTGAAAAGCTTTTTTCTTTTAGCTAAGTGTGTCTACCAAGAAAAATATATACTGTATGCTGGTGATGGTTTTTGGTTGATCTAGTAGAATACTTGTTATTAACTAATTCACATTCATTTCACCTTTTAACTAAAAAGTCTCGAGCCCTATGTGGCTGGTTGGTCCTTTCAGTTCCTGTTTTTCAGTCTTTTATAGTACGTGACTAAAATTTAGTACTTTTATAAAAGTAAGGGAATATAGCAGAAATACTGAACTGTGAAACATTAGAAAATGAAAGGAAATACAGCAGCAATATTGAGCTGTGAAACTAAAAAGGTAAAAAGAGGGATGAATTGAAATCAACATCTGTTGAGTGTATTTAGGTACTATTACCCATCTAAATCTTCATGCTTCACTCTTTCAGCAGTTACAATTTCTGTATGTAAAAAGTGAAAATAGTTTCATAGTTCAATAGTTCATCAGAAGCTTTTTGTTTTTGTAACAAGTAGTGTAGTACTGAAACAATATTTTTGCACAGACAACTATTCAATCATGTTATATATGAATGCAGATGCACCATCCCACTTAAGAAGATGGATTAGTGTAAGACTTTTCTTCCAGTCTTATTATATATCTGAAAATGAAATGTTCTTTAAACAAAATCTACCAAATCTAATCAGAGGTGCTCATATTTTAAAATTAATTTAGTTGTTTATATTAATAACATTGATAAAGCTGCTTTTACATGTAGCAGGCAGCATAATATTCATGGTTTATTCCATGCTGAAAAGAGAAGAAAGAAAACACAACGTTTCGGCCGTGAAGCCTTCTTCAGGTGTCACACCTGCAGACTATGTATGCTGACGCAGCTACCCACCTGAGCATAATATTGAGTTTTTTGTGTTCTTAAATAAACTCATGCCAAAGCAGACTGGAGGTATATGCTGTAGAAACCAAGGTAAATGTAAAACTTTATGGTTTTACTGTAACTTGGATGGAAATAAGACTCCTATAGTAAAACATATTTTCAAACTAACAGTTTTAATGAACTGTAGATTCTTCTATACAGCTTAAACCCACATACATGGGATGCTGATTATTTCATACAGTATGTAATATCAAAATCTCAAATTGATTTTCATAGATTTCATAGTACATCCACACACATATATTGGAACATTAAGCCAATCATTGAGATTGTCAGTACTTTTTTTTTCCTTTAGTGTTATTTAAAAAATAAGTAAGTTCGTGGATGCAGGGAACACGTACTGTCAAAAACTCACTCTAAAAATGCTATTTTTTACTGTTTTGAAAATGGTTCATTCAAACTTTATTCCAACATAATACCTTATCACATACAGTCTTTGACCAGTTGTAAATCTTGTATTCACTTTGTTCTATTTAACATGTACTTTTAAAAAACAAAATATAATTTTGCATTATTCATGCACTAGAGAATATTCGGATTTCCTTCTGTTGCCGAATCACTTCAAGAATGAATTTTTTTTGGCGGTGGGATGAAACAATTTACTTTTGACTCAAATATCCATTTATAGAATGACATTTACAAAAATGACATCCGATAAGACACAGGGCTCATTTATTTTGCCTCATGAATTAGAATGAGTATAAGGCTGTGGATGTGCTCAAACACTTGAAGAATCAAGAACTCTTAGGAACACTGTCTGATCAGGAATTGAGGTTGATGTTTTTGTAATGATGTGCAGGTATAGCGACTCAAAATCAATACTAACCTAATGATGGAAAGTCTGTACAATACAGGTCATAATATCTCCTATAAGTTTTTTTCATACTCTGTTCTTTGTCACTTATTGCATGATGGATTTTAATTGGTCATTCTCCTCCATTCTATCTATATGAAACAGATTATGACATCTGGGCAGTTTCTTTGTTCAGCGCAGTGCCTTTATTCATCGGGGGCATGTTTTGCATTCTTCAGGGAGTGCACATTCCAATACTCAGTACGTCTTCTTTTCTCTGACGCGTTTGCAGCATGGCTCGTTTTTTCAGCTATGCGATTCTGCAGTACAACTCAGAAGCCACAGACACGCCTTTATATAGCAAATTGTGATTGAAAATGTAAATTTATTGATTTCTTGCTTGGTTTGAGGACAAGCACCATGGGGACAAGAGCCAGAACCCACACCTGCTGATGTGGTTGGTGAAGGGGTGATGTGCAATGAAAGCTGGGAAATAAGAGTTTTAATTTCTATACCCTACAAAGCAGGTGATTGTTGGAAACTGGGTTCTGTAATTCTCTCAGAATATCTTCTTTCTTTATGAATTACAATGATCACTTCATAGATACATGTGGGAGAATATTGGTTTATTTATTTTTTATTTTTTTTAATCAAGCTAACCGTCTGAGCTGTAATGACATGAATTACAGGACACATATGTGAATGTTTATAGTTTGTTAATGTGTAGTGATAATGCAAGAAAAAGCAAGAGGGACTGAAATTTTAGAGGCAGGTTTTGTATCCAGCTGTGGTAAATTGTCTTGGCTTATGCAAACAGTTGGCCCATTGTCTAGTGTAAATTCTTCAGAACTTGTTCCCAGAGCAATTAATGTGGTTCTAAAATATACTACTATGTTGCCTCTCTCAAGCCATTATTTATGTATATTGTATTCTGCAGATGTTTCCTCCTGGGGAGCTGATGGTTAGAACCTTTGGTCTCTCATCTTGACCACCCAAAAAACAATATAATGCACTTTTCTAAGTTAGGAAGGTATGTGCCTCAGTCTTCATGGATCCCAGCTCTCCAGAATATTTATTGATGAAGCAGAGAAGATTTTTCACTGTTCCCTCCGTATGTGATACAGCATTTCATGGCATAATCCAAATGACCTCTTTATTGCTATTTGTAACTTTATAATGACTCTTCTATATTGCAGTGGTGTTAATAAGCTTTGATGAAGGAGGCCCGTTTTATTGAAACTAGGGTTGTGCTCAATAGTCTGTTGGCCTGCATTCAATATAAGGTTAATGAAAAGAATGGTAGGACTGGAGAAAAAAAATCAACATCACGAGGATCCCAAGACAAAGGGAATTTCTAACTGTTTAGTGGAGTTTAATGCTGTGGATTAGCAAACATTTTTGGATGTGGAAACCAATGAACTCCTGTCTTCTGAATGTCTGGAGCCTTGTTACTCTTTGCCCAGCAGGAGGTTAAAGTCTACAGTGCTGTTTTAAGATGCATGCAGATGCTGCTTAAGGATCAAGGTGTGCAGATGCTGCTTAGGATATCAGGACTAAGCTTTAAAACTCATATTTGGAGCTCTGATGTGTTGCTGGTGACAATGAGTTTAAATGCACAATGGACATGAATTACATCTTACTGAAGGCAGTGATAATAGAGAATGAGCACTCGTTATTTATTAATATTATATTAATATGAGAACTACACAATGCGCTGCAACAATTTCTGTACTTTCTTTTCTTGTGATCTGCATTGCTTGTGGAGTGCATTTTTGTTTTGTTTTGATGCTGAAAGCTACTTCAGTTAAGTTGAAGATTTGTTGGCTGAATCATGCAAAAGAAGTCAGGTCTTATGCTGTCTTTTTTTGTAGTTGATAATGTTTATTTATATACAGTTGCTATTATAAATTGGCAAATGTAGCAGTTAAAATTCAAAACTTTTCTATTTATAGAAGTATTCGAGCTTAGCAATTGTTTTAAATTTTTATGACATTATTTCATTTTGTGAAATGTGTATCCCGAAAAAAAGAAAACAGTTTTTAGAAATTGATAACAATTTTACCTTAAAGTACCATACCTGCATTATTTCTAAATATTGACGTCAGTATTGGCCGATATGGTTTGGGAATCATCCTCTATCAGTATCAATCTAAAAACTGTATTGTGGAGCCCGAATAGAAA